ATGGTGGAAGGGCAAGAGAAATTTGAAGTATGCATATTGTGGTAGCATATTGTTGGTATTAATGTATGCTTATGATTTCGGAATATGTTTTGTTGATTTATGTAAGCATTATGTCTGGATTGTAAATCTTCTAGCAAGCAGATTGTAATATTTTCTTTATATAAAGATAAGACAAAGTATCAAAGATAAAGGTTAAACATACTTAAGATTACATCTCATTTTTAAAGGTATGAATGTGAAATATTGACCATTTTAAGTTGGCTCCTCTTTCATTAAGTGATCATGCCATTTTTCTGGTACAACTGATATTTGTTTTGTATTGATGATTTGTTTTATGTACATATCAAGATGGATGATCAGAAACTTTGCCAACCCTTGCAGTTCAAGTATGCAAAATAGACATTGTGCTTTGGGTTACAAGTGAAATAGAGATACTGTCAATAACCAAATCCCAGAAATGTGATTTAGCTTGTAGAGAATGAGTGGTTTCACAAGTGTTCATAACTGTAAATTGTTAGAAATAAACCTCTCAAAGAGTTGGAAGTATTTGTCCCTAAGATAGAGTTTTTATGATTTTGTGTCTTGTTTCTAGAAGACATTTGGAAACCTTTGTTGTAAGAGTAAACTGTAATGACATATCATATTAATAAAAGACTAAGCTTGACACCCATACAGAATGATAAGAACACCTGAAAAAAGCTTTTACTGCTGCCTTTTAGGCTTAACACATTAAGTTGCATCATGATGTGAATGAAAGTAAATTGTGATATTGCTAATGATTTATGATGACATTTGATGTAGTCAAAAGAACATACACATTACACTTGCATTGCATATTACAAATAGCCTGATGGGGGCAGAGAAATTTTCATCAGAACTTGTTTAACGTCCTTGATTTTTTGGAACTCAAGAATTGTTTTCCCACGTAGGTTGAAAGTTGGGAAAGCTCATTTTGAGTTGCATCGTTTGTATAAAATAGCCTGAGCATTCTAATTTTCTTGTACTCCAAAAAATTATTTTGTCTTTCAAAGAGTCCCCCTATTTGCTAAATACAATGTTTCCCATCAGAATTCCCTTACACATTCTCAATATTTTTTGGTCCCCTGTCTATATTTGTTTAATGGTGTTACATTCCCTATATTAAATGTTGAAGTTGCACAATTTAAGCATGTTTTGTACACAACTCAGTGCTTATATTCAGCAATATTTCCAAACAAATGCATTTGTAAGTTTGTAAATGTCCTTTAGTGGAGTTCATAAGTGGTAAGTAAAGTCATCATGAGGTAGAATAGCCATGAAGCAGTTGTATGAGCAGGGCAGAACTTGCAAAATATGTAATTTTATATGCATAGATATGTATTGCTGAATGAGATTTGTAGTTGAAATGTAAAGTTAATACAATGTGTTCTGTGGAAATATTCTCTCATTATAACCATATGTACAGCAAATTATTTAAAGAAAGGGACATTATGAGGGGTTATGACACAAGTCATAACATAGCAGTCTGACATTATTAGCCTTGGAATCTTGAGGTTGTCTTGTTATAACACAAATAGTATTCCCTTTTATTTACTAATTTGGAATAAGTGGTAATGATTGACAAAAAGGCTGCTTCTCTTTTGTTACATTAAATATGAAGAGAAGAGAAAGCTATATATTAGAAAAAGAATGTGTTAACAACCATGTAATTCTCTAAAAATGAATCTGTGCTGCAGCAGTAAACCTTTCAGTGGTTAACAATCTCTTCAATTTTTTTATTTTTGCAATTACTTCTATTTTCTTTTTAAGAGGTAAATATTTTGTTCACAGTGCAAACACTTTGGTTTATGCATATTTAGTGTTCTCTGTAGTGTTTAACGCTACTGACCGCTTGACCTCCAGGTAGTACAAAGATTGAAAATAAAAGATTTACATATTCTGTTGAAGTTCTTCCATAACTGTACAGTGGTATACAAGAAATAGAAGTATCAAAAAAAAAGTCTATTATATATATATATATAATATATATATATATATATATATATATATATATATATATATATATATATATATATATATTTATATATATATTTTTTTTTTTTTTTTTTTTTTTTTTATCAATGCTGCTGGGCAATATTAATAAAAAAAAATGTAAAAAATGCTTTGCTCATTTTTTATATTTTTTTGTGAAATGTGTTTGCAAATAAATGGCTCTGCTAGTGCTTAGCCTTACCTGATTTCACCTTTCCTTGAATTGGCGGGAAAATGTATTTTTTACTAGTGCTATGACTATCGATAGTGTTATTTTTATTATAAACATTATCATTACTATAATGTTATAAGCATTAGTAAGTGCAAAATATGATAGCGTAAAATATCGTAAATCAAAGAAAAGGGTAAACAGGCGAGAGAGGCAGTACTTGTAATTGGCTCATTGGTAACTTTAGTACAAGTGTAGCCATCTATGTATCAAAAGAATAAAACAAGTAGACTCACAGTGGGCATGGCATACATGCACATGTTATGCCCGTCAGCATTGGGTTAATGTTTTACTACCTTAGATTTTCTTCTTCCCCTTCTCCCCCCCAATCCCTTGCCCGTTGTTGTCGTGGGGGGGCTTAGGAGGCGGAGACTGGGACCCAGTGATGGGGAACTCCCCAACCTTGGGACGCAGCCCTCGACTCAACTAATTCTGCATGGTCTTTTTTCCACTCCTACTTTTTTGTTTCTGTCCCTTCAGAAATCCCTTCTACTATCCACTTCCTAAGGTGTGAGAGCCATGTTGAAAGGATGAAAGGCTGACTTTGTGCCAGTCCTGAACGGCCTGAGGGAGCCATAGGCACGGTTTTCCCCTGCTTAGGCCTATCCCTTAACCCTCAAGGGGACCCTGAGGGGTGAACTGTTTTTCTCCCCAACATACTCTAGGCTTACCATGGCCAATAATGAAGGCATAATCCCACTATTAGGGGCAATGAGGCTTGCCCCTTCATCAAATAGCCCCAACAAGCTCTCCTTTGACGACGGCTTCGAACACTACAACTACTACCCCCTCCTCAATGCCTACTAGTACAGTATCTACCATAGTAAACACTCAACCCCCCTGAGACATTTCCACTCTCTCAACATGCTCAAATTCAACACCTCTATTTTTCTTCATCAACTACCCCATCCTCCCTTTTTTAATACTTTACAGCCTTATTACCCACCTCTCCATAACACTACCTCCCTCAACACTACTCCCTCCTCCACACGCCCCCGCCCTTCTACTGCCCTTATCTCCACAAAAAACTTAAATACTCTATTTAGCCCAGCCAAATGGGACCGATTTTTTGTGATCCCTCCCACAGCTCCCTACTCTAACAACACCCTTCTCTTCCAGCAATGTCACCAAAAATAAGTAGGCAAAGTCCCTTTTCATAGCCGACCCGACCGCTCTCGTCTCGTCACAGTAACATCTGAAAACCAAGTTATAGGATTATCAAATCTAACTGATATATATGGTAATCCCACCTTCAATACTTGCACCAGAACTGTTTCTATCTCCCCAGCAAATTACCAAGCCTTCAGGCTAGTACAGTGGTAACGTGTCGGCCTCTCATCCGAGGGGTCGGCGGTTCGCGCCCTGCCCAGGCGCGAGAAGTTGCAATTGTCGCCTGGAGGTTACTGCTGTGGCTGGGCACCACGGTGGGTAAGGACTAAGCTCTGCCGAGTCAGCACCTGCTGACACACTGTTAGCGAGTCGACATTAGTCGGCACAGGCCGGGCTCCCCCATAGCCCGGGCGAGGCTCAGCTTCGCATATCGGACTTATCCTTACTTAGCAAATTACATTATCTCTGACAAAGATTGGTCAGATTGTGGGTAAGACTTACTTGCCTGTCTCAAGGACTATGATGCAACATCAGTACAATGCTACTCCATTCCTCCCAAAGGTCATCGTAAGAAACCCACTAACATTGGCAAAATTACTTTCCGAAGACATGATTTTTCCTTTAATGTTTACATAGGTGGAGAATCCAAATTGTTGACATTTAGGACATCCAACCAAACATTGCCGTTCCACAGCCAGATGCCCACTATGTGCCCAACCTGGCCATACTCGATCAAACTGCTCTGCACAATCACGCACACGTGCCAAATGTGGTTGCCCCCATAATGTATTTTATAGGTGCTGCCCCACCTACAAATTTGAGTTTGGTAGCAACTCTCAGATTCAGACTTGGACTCACTACGTGAAGCCAGACAAGAAGCACGTCGACGAAGTTTTTCTCCTACTCCTTATTCCAGTAATGTTGCTCACTCTGACATTCCCCCTACCTCCCAAGCTCCTACACCATCCCCTAAACCTGTCCCTCCTCCATCTAACTTTCCCTCTTCTACCTACCTTCCCCAGTCAAATTCTTTTGCCATCCTAAATCCAGACACTCCAATCTCGACTACAGCCCTACAGCTACCTTCCCCTCTCCCTCCCCGCACTACCCGCAGCAGACAGACAGTTCCATACCCTCTTCCCCTACCACCCATTCACCTCCACCTTCCTTTGCCCCTACTCTCCAGACACCAGTCTTCTCCTCTCATCCACCTCCCCCCCCCCCAATCCCTCACCCGTTGTTGTCGTGAGGGGGCTTAAGCAAGCTTTCCCAACCCAACCTCCACTCATCTTATATTGCACTCCACTCCATTATCGTTCTACTGGCAAATTCCTTGGCATTATTTTTGATATCCTGATTGTTCTGGTAAGACCATATTTTTCTCATTAAAGAAAAAACTTGCTCCGAATCTTACGGACTCTCTCCCTTATATCCTGGGGCTCAGATCACAAAACTTTCCTCCATCTTCATGTTACCTTGATCCTCTCCACTCGTGATTGTAGATGCCATATCTACTCCTCTGCCTCTACCTCTCTTCGTGCTCATCTTGATACAATACACCACTGTGGTCTTCGCTTATCCCTAGACGCCTTCCGCTCCTCCAGTTAAGAGCCTGTACACTGAGTCAGGCATGCCATCTCTCTCTCGACGTCATACCCCTTCACCAATGCTATGCCCACTTCCACCATCTTTCTGTCACTAAACTAAATATCCCTCAATCCCTGATTCCTACCTGTGCTTCTCCATGTTTACGTATATTCTTTTGCATGGCTTGACATTTGCACGCCATGACTCCGTATCAGCCATTTTCTTTTACCTAGAGAAAACATATTGATACCACATGGCAGTACCAAGTTTTCCACCAATTGTCGTCTTTAGGCATAAATGGGAACATAGGTGTCTTTATGTTTTCTCCAATCACACTTTCTGGGTCAAAGTTGCCTTTTCCACATCATCTTTTCCTCAGTCCTTCAGGTGCTCAGCAGTATCTTATTCATTTTTGCTATTGATTGCATTGTTTAAGGGGACCAGTCGACTATCTTTACGTATGTCCTATCCATACCTGCTGTCCGCTAAGTCCTCTAGTCTGCCATATTATTAGTATCTTCCTAGTTCACTAATTCACTATTTTTAAACTCCAAACTGTGCTGGCAAAACCATATCTTTTCCATTAAAGAAAAATCTCGC